GCTGAGGGGCTCGATCCCAGGACCCCGGGATCATGACCTGAGCCGAAGGCAGACGCTTAACGACTGAGCCACCCAGGCGCCCCAATATGACCCCATTTATATGAAGTTTCCAGAGCAGGCAAATCCATGGAGACAGAAGGAAGAGGCATGGTTCCCAGGGGCTGCAGGGAGGGGGGTGAGTAGTGACTGCTAATGAGTACAGAGTTTCTTTTTGAGGTGGTCAGAGTGTTCTAGAATTGATTATGGTGATGGTTGCACAACTGCTCTCTCTCTCAAAGAAGTCTGTAAAAAAAATAAAAAAACAAGAACAACGTAAGAAATCATTTATCTGTACACTTTAAATGGATGATTTGTATAGTATATGAATTGTATCTCAATAAAGCTGTTATTTTTGTTTTTAAGATCTTATTTATCTATTTGACAGAGAGAGAGTGCGAGTGCACGGGGAGGGCGGGGAGGAGCAGAGGGAGAGACGCAGAGAAGCAGACTCCCCCACTGTGCACCGAGCCCAGTTCGGGGCTTGATCCCAAGACCCTGAGATCAGGACCTGAGCCAAACCCAAGTCAGACGCTTAACACCTGAGCCACCCAGGCGCCCCAATAAAGCTGTTATTTTTAATATTTATTTAAAGATTTTATTTATTTGTCAGAGAGAGAGCACAAGTAGGGGGAGCGGCAGAGGGGGAAGCAGACTCCCCGCCGAGCAGGGAGCCCGACGCGGGGCTCGATCCCAGGACCCCGGGACCATGACCTGAGCCGAAGGCAGACAGACACCCAACCGACTGAGCCCCGCAGGCGTCCCTTGTCTTGTTTTTCAATTGTGGTAAAATGTACATAACGTACAATTGCCCATTTTAAGCGTACGGTTCAGTGGCACTAACTACATTCAAAATGTGCAACCATCAGCACCATCTATTGCGAAACCGTTTTCATATCCCAAAGAGAAACCCTGTCCATATTGAGCAATAACCTGCCCAAAATGGTCTTCATGCCCTTCTGCACCAGGTCAAATCCCATTGCCCAGCCCCAAGGACGGGTCGCATGCTTCAGAAAAGCCCCGGCCACAGGCTCCTTGCACCCTTTCCCCTCAACGATTAGTTCATGGCCGCTCTGCCCACGAAGGAAGGCGCGTGCCCAGCGTGGCTCCCACCAGCCCAGCGCACAGGACATTTGTGACTGAATAACTGGCAGATACGGCTGGCCTCTCCCCGTTTCTGGGTAGACGGCCATTTGTTTACGTAATTTTCTATAATTTAGGAAGCTTTTATTCTCTTTGCTAAGCCTTCAAGATCTACCGAAACCTTTGAAAGTATGATTTCAGATGATTCTTCTATAGGAAGGAACATCGCTTCACCTCCCTGGGAAGAACATTCCAGGAAGCAGAGCTCTAAGTGAGTCACAGTGTATTAATAGCACATCAGACTCTGAACGAAGATTCCAGGATGCTGTTGCAGAGCCAACGAGCTGAGCATATGGTCTGCCAAGTGCATCTGTCTGCTTGGAACATGCATTAGCTTCTTAGGAAAGTTCTTTAAGGCCTCTACACTTGACCAGTGACGTTCCAGAGCTTCACATGTAGTCCCAAAAGCAACACTCTTCCTTTTTTTTAAATTCGAGATTTAAAAAATAACAAAATCAGAATTAAAAAAAAAAGGATAAATCATCTACCCACTTTTTTTTTTTTTAAGATTTTCTTTTCTTTTTTTTTTTAAGTAGTTCAACGTGGGGCTTGAACTCACAGCCCTGAGATCAAGACCTCAGCTGAGATCAAGAGGCCCTTGACTGACTGAGCCACCCAGGTGCCCCTCTTTTACTTTTTTAAAGTAATCTCTACCCACAACATGGGGCTCGAACTTCCAACCCCAACGTCGAGTCGCAGGCTCCACTGACTGAGCCAGCCGAATGCTTCTCAGCTGCCTGCTGTGTGTGTGTGTGTATGTGTGTGTGTGTGTGTGTGTGTGTGTGTGAGTAAAGCAATAGAAGTTTATTAAGCAAGGGTACAGAAAAAGCTCTGAGGAGTGAGAGGGGTCCTGACAGGGCTGCCAGCAAGGAGGGCCTTTAGGGTTGGTCTTTTATAGAAAGCTAACCAGGGAACTTAAATCCTTTTAACATCTCTATTGATAAGACCTTCAGTGGCTTACTTCCTTCTTAGGGTCTGGTTATTCTTGTTGGTCACAGGTGATTATCATAAAGACACCCACCCCACACGACCCACCCCACATGCCTAGGGCAGGGTGGTCCGATTTGTCCCCTTGTCTCCGGTTTCCCCACACCTCCACATTTTTGGGACTTCTGCGAGCCTGATCACATAGCCTCCTATCTCTCTCTACCTAGCCCCACCCGTCCCTTACTCATTCCTCCCCCTGGAATAGTACCCTATGGGATGATGACCCCTCTTGCTGCTTCCTGCAGCAATGGGGCGGTGGGCTGTGAGGCACTTAGAATCTATCCAGGGGGTCGACCCAGGGGCTTGTGGTATGGCTCCAGGGGGTCATGAGGGGCAGCAAACCGTGCATGCATCTCAGCTGTCTGCTTTTAAAAATAGTTGAGGGACGCCTGGTGTGGCTCAGTCGGTTAAGCGTCTGCCTTTGGCTCAG